TTAATTAATTTTTAAATTTAAATATTAATATTTAATAAAATAAACTTTAATTAAATAAAACAATATAATTTAAAATTAACACTTTAATTTTTTTAGAATGGAGTTTGATATATATATTTTTTTATTATTATTATGTAAATAAATTTAATTAAATAATTAATAAATTAAATATTTTTTTATTCTTTCTAAACTCTTAATTTACACTTTAATACACAAATAAAAACACTTAATATTAAATAAAAATATCATTAATTGTGATTATACTTTTTTTATAATTTTAATAATAAAATTATTAAAATACTTTTAATAAAATTACTTTTCATATTTATTATTAATAATATTTTAACAATATCAAATCTCAACCTATTAAAAAAAAAAAGCAATTCTTCGTAGAAAAACACCTTTCTCGTGTCAAATAAATCCTTTTTTTTTTTTTCAATTAGGTAAAATATTCTTTTGATGGAATCCAGGCAAGATATTAATTATGGCAAAATTAACAAAAAAAAAAAAAACAATTGAAAAAGAATATGCCCAAGGGCATAAGAACAGTACCAATCAATAAGCGCCACGAGGTCATTTTCTCTGTGGCTGCTTCTAGCTAGCCTTACAAGCTCACTCCTAAGTCCTAAATCAGTTCAGCCCGCTACCAACCACCAGCACCATGGCGACAGCGGCGAGAGTGATTGCCGTCGGGAGCAGCACGACGACCGCGTCATGTTTCCTCCGCAAAGCGCCTTTGGTTCTAAAGCAGAGACCTTTAAGCTCTTCTGGCGGCAGGAGGCTGACAAAGAGGTTGTTTTTCACCTGTAATGCCATTCATAAGCCTCAGGTTCAGATCAAGGAGGAAGGCCAGCCCGAAACCCTCGATTACAGAGTCTTCTTCCTTGACGATTCCAGCAAAAAGGTGTTTCTCTACCCCAATCTCTTGTTCTGTAATTAATTATTATTATTATTATTTTTTTTTTTTGTTGCTGAGAGAATATGCAAAGGATAAGGTAATTCAGGACGGAGCAATCTCTGTTTTCTGTTAATGTGGAAAGCTATCTATTCATTCCAATTTAGGTTTCCATTTCTTTTTATCGTTTTCTTATTTGGGTTTTGTTTCGTTACTGAGAGAAAGGAAACAAATTGAGGTTTTCGAAATTTTTTTTCCATCACTGTATGATAGTCATGAAATTGGACGATCAATGACTAAAGCGTAATAAGGTTATAAATTTATTATGCAAGTTTCGTTTGGTTTCCAAGAAAATGGGTTTTGTTTGAACTGAGCATCATCACAGTATGGCTTAGCTTAGTTGAGCAGAATTGGCATCTGTGATAATGCCAGAAGGAGAATTTATTGCCAAATTAGTGTGCTTGTATTGTGGGAACCTATGGATGATATTTGATTTTCTCAAACAGTTAAGAAAAGATGTAAATCAGGATTTTAATTTTGCTGCTCTTTTCTTCTTTTTTTTTTTCTATTTAAGGATGCAAACTTTCAATTTCTTTTATTTAAATATGTCAACTTTTAACTTTTTTTATTTAACAATGTTAACCTTTTTTAAAAGGTCAGGTTGCCACGTCGACTCACCATCCAATTAATTTTTAAATAAAAAAAAGTTGAAAGTTAACGTATTTAAAGAGAAAAGGTTGAACGTAGACATCCTTAAATATAAAAAAGTTAAAAGTTGACATCCTTATTTAGAAACTAAGAAAGCTAACATCCTAAATAGAAAAAAGTACAAAGGTGACATGCTTATTTGCACCTTTTCCCTGAAACAGTTTGTCAAAACTTTGTTTATATGGCATGGAATGCATTGGGGAAGAGTTCTCATGTTTCATCATAAATTATCTTGATTCCTAATATTTTGTGTGCTGTCATGATATGTTTACTGAAGGAAATAATTTGTTGCTGGCTTTGCAGATCTCTCCTTGGCATGATATACCATTACACCTAGGGGATGGTGTTTTCAACTTTGTTGTTGAGATACCCAAAGAATCAAGTGCAAAGATGGAGGTTGCTACTGATGAACCATACACTCCCATCAAGCAGGATACAAAAAAGGGAAAACTTCGATATTATCCGTAAGATATGATGTTCTAGATACTGTTTGTTTTGTTTTCTTAGTGGCAATCATTTTATGTTCTCTCCCTTGTCTTTGCTTCTCACAATTCATCTATTTCCAATTCTATCCACTTTTCCTTACTCACGAGATCATGTAAATAATGTTCTTCAGTTTTGTTTTGCATATGTTTTAAGTTTTGGCATGATAAGTGCTTCTCCATTGGTTGATTGTTGTAGCTGTAAGTATCAGTAACTTTAGGTATCCTTTAGTAAATCTTTTTCTTTTTGGTTGATTATTCATTGCTTAGATGTTAATTCATCCTTCTTCAATTATTGTCTTGGAAACCTTTTGAATCAAAAGATTCTGTTCCGTACATTTGTAAATTCCTCCTGCACCCAAAAGGTTCTTCTGACTTTTAAGGGGCAGCACAGCCATGTTTATTCTTCAGGGCACTTGAAACCTCATTTTTGGATCCAAAGGTCATTACTGTGGCAAACAACAAATGTGGGAAAGCCTCTTCTTAATTATTTTTGAATGAAACTATGAAAGGGATTGAGAGACACATTTAATGTAAGATTGTCTTATCAATAAAACTACGTTGTAACTTGTATCCATCTACTTGCTATCACAATAATTGTTCCTGGACTTTCCTTGTTCTTGATAGTAATTTTAAGCCTCTAGGTATATACATCTGAACTTCAAATTCTCGGAGATTTCATTTCTGAATCACTTCGTTCATTTTTCCTTAGCTATAATATAAATTGGAACTATGGATTGCTTCCGCAAACATGGGAAGACCCATCTTTTGCTAACTCTGAAGTTGAAGGGGCACTTGGAGATAACGACCCAGGTAATTATCTTTATATATTTGTGTCGTTACCCCAGACAAAAAAAATCTATATATTTGTGTCATGATATTTTGTTATATGCTTTATCCTTTCCTTGATCTAGAAAGTAGCATTTGGATCATCATTACTGTTTTCTACAATTTGCAGTTGATGTTGTTGAGATTGGTGAAAAAAGGAGAAAGATTGGTGAAGTTTTAAAGGTTAAGCCCTTGGCTGCTTTAGCCATGATTGATGAAGGCGAACTTGACTGGAAAGTAGTTGCAATTTCATTGGATGATCCAAAAGCTTCTCTTGTGAACGATGTTGATGATGTTGAGAAGCATTTCCCGGTATTTCATACTCTCTAGTCTCTACCAAATTGCCTTTTCATTTTAGCTTTGATGCAGCATTCCAACATCAAAGATAGCTATTATAGGTTCTCAAATTGAATTTATTCTAGTTAGTTGAAAGAAAAGTTGTGTCATTTCTAAAGGATTTTGGGCATTAATCTGGTGCAACATTCAGGGGACTCTCACTTCAATCAGGGACTGGTTTAGAGACTACAAGATCCCTGATGGAAAACCAGCTAACAAGTTTGGTCTTGGCAACAAGGCAGCAAACAAGGTAAATGCGGATTTTGTTTCTTTCATTTCATCCTCGTCCTGCCGCATATCATGAGTTCTTTTATTGAAATAATGAATGCTGTCTAATGAACAGGATTATGCTCTCAAAGTTATCACTGAAACTAACGAGTCTTGGGCTAAACTTGTCAAGAGAACAATTCCTGCTGGGGAGCTTTCACTTCTATAAACGCAACTGGTAGGGTTGGAGCAGCTGCAGGGTGTGTGGCATTGCCGTTGCCATTTTTTGTTACCAAAGCACGTGCAAGGATTTCGGCCAAAAAAAAATAAGCACATGCAAGGAGATTCTGATAATCATATGTGCTGATACTGTTGCGTTCCTTCTCCTTATTGATTCATATAATCCATTGAACTAGTTTGTTTGTCCCTTGTTTTCTGTTTTCTGAGGAAATTTAAGTACTGTATGGATTCTGACTGCAAATACAAAATAAACTACTATTTGTTTTTGACATGTTGGATTTAAGGCTTCTGTTATAACATCTTTTATACAACAGCAATGGGGCGATACTCAGCCTCTATGAATATGAACATCATTTACAATTTACAGAAAGCCTCTGTTCTACCAACATAGCCCTAAGAACAGCATAGCAAGAAGTGAGATGCACCGGTCTAACAGCAGCCAAGTTCAAGGGCTTCGCGGAACCTTTTTTCCAATGCAGAATCCGCAGAAGATAAAGGGTCAGTCCCCATTGTTGGCTCTTTGGTCTGGCACCCATATCTTCTTCGCAGAAACATCTTCATTTCAGAGACCTTCATCTCAAGAGATGCTGCCACAGCTGATACTGATGGTGGAGAAGAAGAAGAAGAAACTGGAGAAGGCTTGTTGCGATGGGAGATCAGGATTAGCATTGCGGCTGTGGGCGCCATAGACAGATGATATAAACCAGAAAGAATGCAGATCAAAATGTTGGTGATAAACAGAAAAAAGAGAGCTTTTATATTCATACCATGATCCAAAACAAGCAAACGATAATCTGTGGGCCTCAAATGGTTTTGCATTTTCTGGGGTTTTTTTCTTTTCTTTTCTTTTCTTTTCTTTTCTTTATCTTTTAAGAATCAGAGATGACTACAAGATGGAACAAAATTGTTTATATGACTGTTTCTGGGGTGAGCCATCAGAATACGGCAAGTGGTGACTCCTGTGAGCTTGAGCACATTGGAAAATTTTCTCACTTGCTGCGGAATTCAGTTAAACGGCCCCCTGGTTTGACTGAAGCAGTTGACTGGTTTCCTGAGGAAAAAGCTCAAGAAGTTTATCAATGGCGGTGTACTTAATCTGGATACACTGTCCGACCCTCAAGGTCGTCTTCCTCTATCTCAAAGGTCAATGATTCTCCCTTCTCGAACACGCTGTGAAGAATGGGCTCCGGCGTGCTCTTCGGAGGCGGCAAACCTGCAACATTCATTCATCACCATTCACTAAAGTCTAAACATAATCCAAGAAAGAAAGCAAACCCTAGAGAAAAGTTCCTTACTTTCTCTATGTTTCACGGTTTCTTCATGCGGTTTGTGAACCCTCTTGAAATTGCGACCCATTTTCATCTCAGACTGGGAAATTAGTTCAATCTGTTATATGATATTTCTTGGGGGGACGATCAATTACGAGTCGTTTGCTACTTTCATCATGTTACAGACGAAGAAATGAAAAGGTTTAATTGAAACCCCAAATCCTGTAAATTAAGGGTTCTTCCATTTTGGGAAATTCTTCAAAAACTTAACTTTGGCTTCGCCAGTTCCATAGATTGTTATCTCCCCATTCTGTTCAGGTGGATGAAGCAAGTAACCGACAAAGTATGCACCAAAGCAGTTTGCAAGTGGAAGGGATTCCAGCTTCTTCCACAATCCTGATTTTTCTCTTTCAGTCCAAGCCAGCTTGAAATGGAAGCAGGAAGCCACCCTGTCCGTCCACAACCGAATTCTGAAGACAGAAACCTCTGGTTGGTGGTTGCCATTCAATACACAAGCAAAGGTGAACCTCTCTCTGCGTTTTCTGTTTGGTTAGAGAAGTTTCCTTTTGGCAATAGATTGGTATGAGAAATTGAGAATTAAATTCTCCCTTTTGATGGCACCTATTGCCGGCAAACTTGTTCTTTATTGTTGTTCTTCAAAATAGATACCAAGTCTACATCATTGATAATTTGGCATAAGCATCCTCCGAAAAATGAATCAACTTCCATTAAGAACACACCTAATAGTGTGATTGTTTACAATAAAAATTAGATTCAAGCGGTCGTGTCTCTTTACAAGAGAATCCTCAGACTTCTTATAGCCTGTTATTCAACGGGCATAAAACATGAAAACATATTCTGGATAGCCAATCTGCAACTTAAAATTATGAACCTTGAATTCTAATTATACTGTGGAAACCTAATATATATGAAACAAGTTTATCCACAGCAACACTATCTATAAAAGATTAATGCTTGACTTTGTGGAAATAAGCAGTTAGGGTTCGGCCAAAGGTTCTCGTTGCTCAGCAGCCTTTCCTTCAAGGAAGGATGTTGTGTTTGATCTTTCAGTTTTGGTGACTCGTCCTTCACTATCTTCTTCAAATCGATCCACACCGTGTAGCAATATTCCTGCAGCACTTGAAAGTTCAGTAACACAAATCTCAAGGCCAGGAACAGGGGAAATTTATTAGCACAAACCTGAAATGGGAGCACTAACTTTTTCATAGGGTAGACTCGCTGGTATTAGGCAGAGGGATACACCTAAACTAGGTTAAAGGATAAACCTAACATATTTCAAAAGGGACACATCTATGTTGGTGTACAATCCTTCTGCCAACTGAAACCATGATATGCCCTTCTTTTAGGGGTTGAAGAAGAGAAAAGAAGTAATGGCCAGAAGAAGAAAAGGGGGTATTTGAAAATCAATTGTCTAGGTATAACGTGTTGAGTGTAGAGCAACCCCATTGTAGGAAAAAAGAGTTGCTTTCCAATCCATGAGAGTTGCAACAGTGTTTCCAGCAGCCACCATCCTTACAGAGTCAATATAGTGACTGAATAACTAAAACTATATAAAAAATAAGTATTACCATCACCAAGATATTTTTTCCCTTCATTGAAATTCTTCATATTCTACTAATGGTTTTTCTCAGTATTACAAGAACTTACCAATAAACCATATCCCTGCTGCTGGAAACAAAATTGCTGTTAGAATAAGAGCAGTCATCCTCCAGTTGTTGACTTTATCCTGTGGAATTTCTCAAAAGTCAAGGCTAAAAAATTACACAGGCTAGACATTTATATAAAACAAAAATTGAGAACTTGGAACTGTGGTTAACAACTGGGCGAACCTGGAGAACCCCAACAAGTGGTGAGGAAGGAACATCCCCAAATATGTGGATGCAAACGGTTGAGATAGCCATGGATAGTGGTCTCAAACTTGGTTTAACACAGTGGAGACATACAAAATTTACGGGACCCTACAAAAAAATGAAAGATTTAAGGAGTTCGCAAAGAAGTATACTTTAAAATTTTACTTGTCAATCATAAGAATGTAAGATTGCAATTGCTAACAACTTCTTGATTGATAAGTTTAGTATGGATATACCTGTGTGGCAAAGACCAGTAGTTCACCAACTGCGAAAAGAGCTAGGAATGCATACATGCTCTTTAAACAAAAGGCAGTGAAACAAAAGACTGCCCCAATAAATGTTGCCACTGAAAGCAGCTGCCAAAAATGTCCAAAGAATTTAGAGATGCAAACAAACACAAACATTGTATGATATTTCCCTTTAAATGGCATTGCACCTACCTTAAAAGCATTGGAAATTGAGGTAGACATAAAATCAAGAACAAAACCTCCAGCTAGAGTACCCAATATTCCACAGAAAATAGTCATCCCTCCAAATATCATATCTGCATTCCTCTGCGTGAAGATTATGGTGTCAAATGAAATATAGACATTTAATCAGGCTTAATTGCCAGTTCCTTCTATTTTCAATCACATATTTTGTGAAAAATTAAACATCGAGGGTTAAAATTATATAATGGGATTACCAGCAGAGTAATTCTAAGAGCTTACCATATTATAAATAAAATAACCAGCCTTAGGCCCCCAATAAGAGTATGCACCTATAACAAAGTTGTAGGCAATATAACCTGGAAATGGCAACCAAAAAATTAAAAGGTTAATGACTAGAGATAGCAGAGCAACCAAACTAATGAAAATTACAACACTTCACAGTTAGGATGCTCATATATGGTTAGGAGCATAAGAAATTTAGCATACAACTTGTACTTGACTGTTCTTCCAAGAGAACATATCAACCAAGAATCTGGTCTGTAAAGCACGGTGAAAAAGAACATACCTAGAACATTGACAACAAAAACCTTTTCACACAGAAGCACTTTCATATCTTTTGCAAATCTAGGAAACTGATTTGGATCAAATAATTGACCTTTCAGCCTGTAACACCCATGAAACCAAATGGTTATGGCCAAACAAAGAAAAGAAAAACAGAAAATATATTCATTTTAAAACTTATCTGATAGTTTTTTTTTTTTTTTTAATAAAGTTAAAACACAAGTACCCTTCAACTCTCTAAAGCAAATGGGATTTACACTCAGTTTAACTAGTAGTTTCTCCATTAACTAAATTGTAATGGTATTTATCAGCTGAAAGCCAACATGTACAAATCATGTAAACAAGCAGCATAACATTACATGCAATCATATGAGATGTATATGAGCTTTAATATGAGGGTCCTCACTCGGAATTCTTTTTGGAACTTTTATCACTAAATTCTTCCTTTGTGGACAATGTGCTATCTTTGCCACTTGAAACCTTTGTATCTGCACTAAGCACCTAAACAAGTAAGTATGACCAACAAAGATAGATCTTATTTTTATGGACAAAAAACTAATTACAGGTTTCGTCAAAATAGATAAATTAATAGGTGTCATCATCATCATTATCATCATCATCATCATCATCATCATCATAATAATAATAAACCAGTTTTCAGGTTATTGTTTACTAATTATACAGGGGCCGAAATTATGAAATATGAAAAGAAAAAAATTGGTGCATCTTTAACTAGAATGTTAAATGTCAAACTTTAACGAGTAGATATTGCATGGCCAAAAGAGAGAGAGAGAGAGAGAG